AACGAGGGCCTACTGTGCAAAAGGAAAACCATGTAAGGAAAAAGGCTTAGATTCTGGGGAGACTGCAACTCAGAAAAGTGGTGCCATTAAAATTACTTTCAATTCTGCGCAGGAAATGAAATTAGTTAAGAATAAGTACCATGGTTTTGTCAAATAACACTATGAAAGGACATTATGAGAAGGGGTGGATGATAAAACTTCAGGACAAACACATCATCTCCACTGGAGTGTGGCAACAGGATATGATTAGTAAAAGAAATATTAAATTGTCATGAGTTTTGGAATTGCAGCTTATGTAAAAAGGAGCTTAACCATAGATCGAGTCACGATGCACGTGACTTTTCTGGCATAAAAAACACAATTGCTTAAGAATTCATGAGTGATAAGAACCCGAGAAGAAAACTGGCTTACTTACCAAATGTGTAGCAAGAAGAGGAGTATAGACATATGCTACCTTTTCTTAATTATAGTTATTACAGAATACTCTGTGCCACTACCGGACTGCTCATTCCGCACCCTTTGTGTGGGTTTCCTCACTAGATGCCTGCGATCATCTGCTCCTTGAAAAGCCTTACTCAGCACTCTTCCAGGAGCCTCCATGTCTTTGCTACGTGGCTCAAACTCTCGTCAAAGTCAATGTGCCCAAAGTTTTCCTTATTGTTTCCCACTACAAATCTTTTTTTGTCACCAGTATCCAGCAAGTTTTCCAGGAAGAAAAAGGAAAGTTATCCTTTTCTCCTCAAGAAAAAGGAATGTTACCCTTTTTTCTTTTTTGTATGTCTGAAGGGATGTATACAGTCCTGTAATTCCTGAAAGCTTTATGAATAGGTCCCTTTCTTTCTTATTTTTACTGTGATTGCTCCTGGCCCAGTTCTTACTGTCATTTGACTGGACTACTAACAAACAGCTTGAGAGCTTGGCTTCTGGTCTTTTAATATTCCAATTCCAACTCTTTATGTTGCATTAATTATATTTCTTAACCACATAGAAGAACAAAATGATCCACATACCAAAACAAAGCAAATCCAGCTACCATGGTTGCCTAGGGGTTAAGTCTCAGCACTATCACTGCCGTGGCATGAAATGGATCCCTGAGAGTTAACCCACATATGGCACAGGTCTTCCCTGTGACTTATCTAGGCATCCCCCTTCCTGGTCCATATGTCTAATTACAACTTCAAAATGGTAGAATTGTCCTATTTTTATTATTTACTATTATACTGAAGTATTTAACAACTTGCTATGGTTAAATTGAGAGCAACTTTTATTTCTTGTTAGTACTTGTAATGATGGTGTTTCACATCATGAATGGCAAGTTAGATGACCTTACTATATTTAAAGTGTATAATAGTTATCATAAAAACAATGTGACTTTCCAGGCTGGATAATGCACCTTTATGGTAAATGGAAAATCCTACCTTTTCTATGAACCAATGAAACATATACATAAAAAAGACACTAGCATTTGGAACTCTACAGTAGCCAAGAGATAATCCACTTGTACACACAGCCTTAGGAAGGTCCTGCCTCAGACTCATAAGTATTCTGATGCCAGATCCTTCTGCTAGGCTCTCCTGCCTGAAAGCCAAATAACAGTCTGACCCAGAACAAAGTGCTGAGGGGCTTGTGAAACTACGTTCCAGAAATTCACAATCTAAGCTGAAATGGTAGAACAATGGAAAGGAGAGTGAAGGAACAAGATACATAATGCCGGGTGTCTATACTATAACTCAACAGAAATGTAACCCATACTTAAAAATGAAAAAAAATGTAAATTAATATTAATATATGCTATGTCTTTAGCGCAATATATTAAAAGTATTATTTTTCAAGTAAAAAAAAAAACAAAAACAAAACAAAACCTGGTATTGGCACCAGTTTAGGTTCCAACCCTCTCTGCCAAAGCAATAAATACAAATGACCAACTTGCTCAATGTTCAAAGCATCTTATTATGAAGCTCTCCGAAGCCATTGTAACACGAGTTTGATCCCTGGCCAGGGAGCTGACCCCACATGGCATGGCAGACCTCTTCTGACACACCTGCTGCTCCCCTCGACAGTGTACTTTGTCAATCTGCCTGTTCTGCTCCCTACTCTGTCTCTGGTAAATCCTCTCACCCACCACACCTCTGCCCTATACCCGAGTTCTGAAAGCATAAATCAACAAGTCTTAAAAAACAACAACAACCAGACAGACATTAAGGATTTTACATGTTTTGGGGGCATTAAGTCTTAAAAATCTGGTGTGTGTTTTCTACCCATACAGCATATATCTATCTGGATGACGCACATTTCAGTTGCTCAATATTCACTGTGTCTGGTGTCTGCCACCGTAGACAGTACAAGACTAGACTGTGCTTTGGCCAACCCAGTTAAGTAATAAGACAACTCTTTTTACCACACGATATGTGGGTTAAAACTCTCTGGCCAGGGATCCAATTCATGCCATGGCAGTGATAGTGCTGAGACTTAACCCCTAGGCCACCATGTTACTTGGATTTGTTTTGTTTTGGTATGTGGATCATTTGTTCTTTTATGTGGTTAAGAAATATATATAATTAATGCCACATAAAGAGTTCCAACATTAAAAGACCAGAATTAAAAGACCTGACTAATTTCTATATTTTCAAATTCATATGGAATGGTAATTATCCTTCAGATTCTTTTTGTGATTTGTTTGACATCAAATGCTCTACACCCCTGAGCTATAGCCCTCTTTTGTGCCTTGATTTGGCTAATTTTCTTTTAACCATGATTTGGAGTTACTTCTCATGTGCATCCCACATTTCCTTCACTGTGTTGGTTGAAGGAGCTGCCCCCTTGATTCAGTGATAGCTCTTTACCCAGTAAGACAATCCTTGAAAGAGGGAGAAGGAGCATCTGTTCCATTTTACTATTTCTAGTGTCTTATGTACAGCAAGGCTCTGAACCTACACCTTTGAATACCTATTAGAAGGTGAACTACGGTGTTTCTCTACCTGGACTGCACATTGGAAAAAAGCTAATGCTGGAGCTCACCCCTAGAAATGCCAGGCGTAGGACTGGATACTGTATGGATGTTAACATCTTCTAACAATTCCCCTGTGCAGCTAGGGTTGCCCCCGGATCTGGGGCTTTCTTAGAACAGCTTATTGCTGGCCACATACTTACTTGCCTGATATAGGTCCAATTTGACTGAACTTAATTTCTCAGAACAGACTGGAAGTTTCTTGAGAAACCTTGTACAGAAATTACCACATAACCTCAGATGGTAATTTGCAAATTCCTTTCCCAAGGCACTAAAGACAATTTTCAAAGTCTACTTATATTTATCTTTTCTCTTAAAACACTTAAAGTGTAAGCAGTTTTTAAAAGAAAGAATCAATGGCCATTATATTATAGTATCCAGACAGACAATATTCAGATATACTCACTGATATTGAACAACATCAATTCATAGGAATGGTCTAAGTACACATGAACCGCATGTCAGGTTAATTCTACAGGGGTATGATGCCTAAGTTACTAACTAGGAGGTTAGTAGAGGGTAGTATTTCATACTCTTCTCCAGGTGATTTAGGTTATATTTTCATGGCATAATCATACACAAGGTATCTCCCTTTGATGAATTCACCTATAAACCACCTAATTTTAGTCACTTAACACAAACGTGTTGGTATCACTATTTGCTTGCAAAGTGGTATTTTGCCCAATGGCGTGACTTCCACGATGCCTGAGGCTGAGCAGCGGCCAAAGGACAACTCGGGCATCTGCTTCAACACAAACAAGCCGCATGGGGAGGAGGACGGTTGTCTAGCACCGAGGGAGCAGCTGGAATGGAGCTTCTCTGACTCAGGGCTGCAGAATGTCCCTGCCAATTCCCAAGGTGGTTTGGCCAGACGTTAAGGATTTCCCCCATGGTCTTTGGCGGATGGTATGGCATCATAAGCCTTATTAATAAATAGAAGCAGCATGTTGATATATCTCCAAAGATTCCAACATGTACTTCCTCCAGCTTTCTAGCAAAGACAAAAACTCCTTCTAGCTACCCCACGCTGAGTTTTTCTCTGTTGTGATATAACTTTATATTAGTTTCAGGAGTGCAAGACTGATTCTCCATAGGAATATATTGTGACATGAACTGCACTGTAAATCTTTTTACATCTGCACGCCCAAGCAAAGTTTCAGATTTTTTTTCTTGTGATGAGAGTTTTTAAGATTTACTTTCTTAACTTTCAAACACATCATAAAGCATTGTTAACTACAGTAACCATGCTGTGCATTACCTCCCTGGATTTATTCATTTTAGAATGGGAAGTTTGGGCCCCATTTGTTTTCACTTCACATCTTAAGATGAGTCTGAGAATAGAAAATATTCAAAAGGTACTAAATGTCTCAGTACACTAACAGCGCTCAACAAAAGTCCCCTAGTCCTGTCAAAACCATCGAGGAAAGAACATGATGTGGTAAGTGACAAAAACAAAACAAAACAGCCAGGTTTCATGCTTGTCACACTTCAATCTAATAACCCCCCAAGAGCTGATGGGGACCCAAGAAATGGTGTTCACCCAGCGCTAATTTTCACCTCTGAAAAGGAATAGGAAATACAACATAGCCCACTTGCTACATTCATAAAACCAGGAAATCACCATCCACCCATCAGGCTGACCTTCACAGCTGAAATGCCTGACAGCGTAAGCTTTCCATGGATCCTGTTTCTTGGGGTGCATGCACTGAGGATCCTCTGTGGCCCCAGGAAGAGACAAAAAGTCTTCCCTTGATAAGTTTACAAGGCAAGAGTAAGGCTAAAGGATTTCAAATGTTAAAATGGATTTAAAGGTGATATTAAGTTATAGGTTAACTCCATCTGTATTGAGAATGTACCCCTGGGGAGCAGACTGACAGAATCGCTGGAACTGCAGGAAATTAGCAGGATGTAAAAGGTGGGTCCTCAGAAACCAATCTGTGCAATGCAGACTGTTTCAGAGGATTGTCTACGGGCAACTGACACAGCATCCTACCTTTCTGGAAGAACTCTTCTAATTTGTCCTTGAAAGGCTGGAGATACTCCTTTGGCGACTCCTTGCACACCACAGCCATCTGTTTCTCACTTGCTGTGAAGAGAAGTGGGGAATTAGATCATCAAGAACTCACATCCACAGAGTTTGCGCCCTGTGCTGTATACTAGGGTGACAGATGTGTAGAGTCCCGATCAATCACTGTTTACCCAAATTCCAGGGGAAACAGAAACAACACAAACCCTAATAGTTCACTACACCTTTCTTCAGGGACAGGGAAATGTATCACTCTTTTTTTTTTTTTTTAAACTTTTTTTTAGATGTTAGTAAAACCTTTCACTGGCAACTACTCTGCTTGAAAATAGAGGCAACAATACTGATGGGCCAGCCCTAGGGAATCAAAACGATGTTGAACCTCTTCAGATTCCTATTTCCAGAGAAGAGTTCTTTTATTTTTAAAGGTTTATTTGCATACAAAAACTAGGGTACAGCCCAGAGGTGTAGGGGGTGGTGGTGAGAGGATTCACTAGAGACAAAGTGACGAACAGAACAGATGGATCTACTGAAACACACTGCTGAGGGGAGTAGCGGGCGAGGCATGACAGATCTGCTGTGCTGGGAATTGAAGTCATGCTGCAGTGGCTGTGGACAGCTTCATAGTACTGTGACTTAATCCCCTGCACCACCAGGGAGGCCCATTTCAGAGGTTTTACAGAAATTCCAGGATATCCAAGTTTGGGGAACTACCCAAATGGTGGTTCCTCAGGGTGACATCCACATTCTAACATGAGAACTATCCACAGGGTTCACGCTTCCCATTCTCCTCCCCTTCCTATTAATAGTTTACAAACATATATGTGAGCATTTTATATGTGATTCACTTTGGGCTGAGTACCCTGAATTTATTTTAGATTGCATTTTTGATAAACAAGTACCTTCAAATTAGACAGTCCTGATTTGGACATACAGAAACCACAACAACCCATTAACCATTATGCAAGGCAGCTCATCATGGTGTTTCCTAAAGGTTTCTATCTGCACCAGTGGCAGAAATGCACCAGAGGGACAAAGTTTAGTTTTCACAAAGCTAGACTTGATTCATGATCGATCACTTTTATTTGTTGACCATGGTCAGAAACTACTGCATGTCCTTGTTTAAGAGAACATAATAAAGTACTGAATTTGGGAGTGGGAAAATATTGAATTTTCACTATAAAGATATCATGCTACCAGGTCAAAAACAAAAACAAACAAACAAACAAAAAAACTCCAGTTCTTGGAGGTAAGGCCTTTGGTAAAAAGGTGGTTAGAAATGGGGACCTTGGACCCTCCCTGGTGGTACAATGGGTTAGCACAGCACTGTGAAGTTAGCTCAGCCACTGCAGCGTGAGTTGGATCTCCAGCCAGGGGGGTGAACCACATGGCGTGGCAGACCACCCCGACCTGCCCACTGCTCCCCTCAGCAGTGTGTATTTCAGTCCATCTGCCTGTTCTGCTCCCCACTCTGTCTCTGGCAAATCCTTTCACCCCTGCATCTCTGGCCTGTACCCCAGTTCTGTATGTATAAATAAATAAATTTTTTTTTTAAATGGGGGCTTTTGTATACATAGGGAATTTTTTTTAAAAAAAAGATGTATTTATGCATACAACTACTGGGGTTTAGGCCAGAGGTGAATGGAGAGGATAGGATTCACCAGAGACAGAGAACAAGTGAGCATACTAAAATACACTTCTGAGGGAAGCAGCAGGCTAGACAGGAGAGGTCTGCTGTACCATGTGGGTCAGTTCCTTGGCTGGGGATTGAATTCCTGCAAAAATGGTTGGATAGTTTGACAGTGCTGAGAATTTTAACCCCTGTACCACCAGGGAGGACCATACATAAGGAAATTTGTATGCAATGATTTGCCAACATCCCAGAACACAGGCAAAGCAACAAACATTAATACTGAAGCAAAAGAGGCTACTTGAGTGTCTCCTGCGATTGGTTATTTGAGACTTTTCTCTTGCTAGATTACCAAAATCTCAGTCAACTCTGGGAGACTTTAAGATTGTGTTAACAATTAAAACCATAATTTGAAGGTAACTGTCATTTTCTAAGTTAAGTTCTGAGTCAGCTACATTCTCAAAATTATCTACACAGATTACTGCTTGAGATCATGAAGCTGTAGGGCAGTAATGTCTAAGTTTTCTCTATTGACATGATTACTTTCTAAAATTTTTTAATAGTTTCTTCTGAATATCTGTGATTAGCTATTCTGATCATCATTCCAAGGGCATCTGGGAAGCCCTGACAATTGAAATAGAAAAGAAAAAAATAATCCAACTTCTTGTTGTTCCAGGTAGACAATTTTTGTTTGTTCCTGAATTTTTCTTGCCACCACCTCATGCCATCACTCATGCCCCTTTGGCTTTTATCTCCTTCCTCTCTCCCTCTTAAGCTCAGAAGCCTGATTCATTTACTAGTGTGCTTTATTTTCCTTTGTTGAATCATTTGCTACACAAGTAGCCAATATTTGTCTTTGTCATTTTGATTTGCTTCACTATACATAATTCCCTTGAATTCCTTACATTCTGCTATAAATGAAAAAACGTGACATCTTTCTATATGCCTGCAAATAAGGATGTATCACAGCTTCTTATTCCAGTCCTCATTCAGTGGGCACTTGGGTTATTTCCAGGCCCTAACTATCATAAATAATGCTTCCGTAACCACTGTAGAGCATATCATTTTTGAGTTGATGGTTTCATGTTCTTTGGGTAGGTTTCCAAGAGCAGACTGGCTAAGTCATTCAGTATTTCCATTTTTAATTTGTTAAGATAAATCCATATTGCTTTTCTAAATGTCTGCATCAGTTTATGTGACTATCAACAGGGTGATAGGGTTCATCTTTTCCACATCATCTCCAGCATTTGTTGGAGTCTTTTTAATATGTACCATTCTATTTTTTTTTAAAAGATTTTATTTATTTTTATGTAGAAGAACTGGGGTATAGGCCAGAGGCACAGGGGATGAGAGGATTCATCAGAGACAGAGTGGGGATCAGAACAGGCAGATCGACTGAACTACACTGCTGAGGGGAGCAGTGGGCAAGACAGGAGAGGTCTGCCCACACCATGTGGGTCAGCTTCCTGGTTGGGGATTGAATTGGTGTTACAGTGGCTGCTAATAGCTTCATAGTGCACAAAGGGTTACCCTTGTGCCACAAGGTGGGTGGGGCGCTTAATATGTGCCATTTTTACAGGTATGAGATGTTATTATATTGTCTTCCAACCTGCACCTCTTTTATTAAAAGTGATGCACATTTTTTCCAGATATATATTGGCTATTTGGATATGCTCTTCAGTGAGCTTTCCAGATTTGCTTCCCATTAATTAGGTCATTTTGTTTTCTTTGCTAAATGGGGTTTTGTATATATTGGATATTAATCCCTTGTCAATCTTTTTTTTTTTTTTAAAGATTTATTTATTTGTGCATACAGAACTGGGGTATAGGCCAGAGGCTCAGGGGCGGTGAGAAGCTTCACCAGAGACAGAGTGGGGAACAGAACAGGCAGATCGATGAAGTACACTGCTGAGGGGAGCAGCGGGCGTGTCAGGAGAAGTCTGCCGCGCCATGTGGTCACCTCCGGGACAGGCGGGAATCAAACTCATGAGGAAGCGGCTTTAGATTCTCAGTGCTGTGCTTTTAACCCACTGCGCCACCAGGGAGGGCCATGTCAATCCTTAGTAATGTGTGAATATTTTTCCCTCAAAGACCCTACTTAATGAAGGAATATAAGTCCTTCCTGGAACAAATGGGAAATAAATTCTTTACAACCAACCAGTCAGACCATTATTTCAAAACACCTTCTCCCTCCCCATTTTTATTTCTTTGTCAGCCTATTCTTTCTATAATAATTACATATGCTTTATCTATTATCAGAGTTACTCTTACCTCTCTTACCAGTGGATGGACCTGCACTAAAGTAGGAGGTACCTATTCTCATCACTGTTCTGTCCTCAAAATCATGGTTCCTGGGCTAGAGTGGTATCAGAGACAAGGAGAAGAGCAACTATTTAGAACTGGAATGTATTTTGAAGGTAGATGCAATCAATACAGGATTGAAGGATGAGCAATACATGTCTGGAAGTGCCTTTACTGTGTTGGGAAATAGTGGAAAGTATTATCTTTTCTGAAAATTTTTATGATTTTTCTTTAAGAGATCAAGAGTTAATTTTGAGATTTGTTAATTTTCTCTGGTCTCTCTGGATTAAGGCAAGGTCACCCACTGAAAACAAAGGGGAAAAGGTACAAAATAAGATGAAACTATTAATGGATTCTCTTTGTTAATTTTTTTTTTAAAGATTTATTCACTTATGTGTACAGAACAGGGATATAGGCCACAGATGTGGTGGGTGAAAGGATTCACTAGAGACAGAGCGGGGAGTAGAACAGACAGATTGACAAAGTGCATTGCTGAGGGGAGCAGCGGGTGGGTCAGGAGAGGTCTGCTGCACCATATGGGTCAGCTACCTGGCCAGGGATCGAACTCATGCTGCAGTGGCTTCAGAGAGCTTCATACTGTGGTGCTTTAACCCATTGCACCACCAGGGAGAGCCCCTCACTGCTATTTTAATTCAATTCAAAGTCCCAGAATTGAGATTTAAAGTGCTTCTATTACAACATCATTTTATTTTTCTACTCTATTTCCCATATACATTTGACCAAACAAACCAAAATTGTGTAATGTTTCCAAGTTATGTCACCAACACTCCCAGTCCCATGTCTTCGTTCACATGGCTTTTTATTCATGGTTATTTTGCTCTTATCCCACAGACATATACTACAGTATTTCACAAAATCTTTCATCCCAAATCGTGTCTCTGAGATGCCACCACCACCAATCCAATTAGATCCTTCAGCTATTTCCAGTCTCTTCCATATAATCTTTTAAAACTGTTATTTATATTTATTGGTCTACTTTATTAGTTCCTCAAAGTTACCACACAAGTTACTTTTTCTTGACCTCAAACTTTTCCAAAGAGTGCCAGGCATGTTTGACCACAGAATCTGATTTCCACACCCTAACTAGACTCTTACATGAAGGAAGGTTGAG